AACACTGGTGTTGTGTGGTGTTGTCCGAACCTCGCGGGACATGCGGATAATTTATCACCGTACCACACAAAAAATATTTTATCGTTTTTAAATAGCCGGCTACTTGAAATAGACCCACGAGGAACCGCGACGTGCATGCCGTTGTCGGCAGAAGTAATGCACGTAAAACTCTGCATAAGACCGGTGAATGACAGGCGAATGACAGGCGAGAGAGAGAGAGAGCGCCTCAGTTTAGCTGGAAATTTACAGTGTAAATTGAATAGAGACTGCAGCTCTGCAGCTTTTCAAGATTAACGCGGAGCTACCATGTAATACAAAAAGAATGACCAACGGTTGGTGGGCTGTTTTTTTTCTATTAGCGCAATGCATGATGGAATGTAGGGCTTGTTTAGTGACCATCGGTTGTACACTACTTTTCAAAATGCATTCTGGGATACTTTGACTGGACGTGGTATAACAATTCTCACTATACATTCAGACAGCACTACAAAATGGCGAGCTCATTATATAGTCCACTATATAATGAATAGTGGGTGATTTCGGACACATCCAAGAGGCGGGGCAAGCTGGTAAGAGACCAGAGTTCTAGGTGTGTGTATATGGAATAGAGAAGTGAAGAGAAAGGGAGCAGATTCAAATAGTGGTTAGACACTAAAATGAGGTGGAGAATCAGGTAGAATTGAAATGGTGAAATACTAGAAATTGAAAAATACCCCATGGCTGCGGTTGCTGACACAGTTACACTGTCATTCTGTGGGAAACACTGTGTGTGGTCACTAGTGTTGTAGTACTTGAGACCGGTCTTGGTCTTGAGACCGGTCTTAAGACCATATATTGATGATCTTGGTCTTGTCTTGGACTCGACGACATTTGTGCTCTGTCTGGTCTCGGATTCGGACATTGAGGACTCTGGATTTTATTTCAAGACAATAACTTTGAGAATATCAATAAACTGCTTTTGCATTGTCTGATTTATTTGTTAACATCCTAACTTTGATTGGATGTAAAATGTATTGCTTCAAATGCAACCAATAGCCCTAATTAAAAATGTGTTGTTCCCGTTAACGACTGTCACTCCTCCCCGCGATGGTAAGCGTGGAAAAGGAGCGTTGAATAAAGATGCTTACGTTGATTTCGCCTCTTAGTGTTTGTATGGGGGTATTTTAATGGGAATCTGGATCTTTCAGATCAATTTGAGAAGTATCTATGATCACGTTTCACATTTTACTGTGTGTCATGTAATGTGGGGTACCTGTGTTGGTCTCGACTTGGTCTCAGCCCCTAAAAGTCTTGGGCTTGTCTCGGTCTCGATAAACCCTGGTCTTGGTCTTGACTTGGTCTCATTTTGGGCGGTCTTGACTACAACACTAGTGGTCACTAAAGATGGCATCACTTTGAGGTTGACAGATTCCGTCAGGCTCTTTTTACTTTGTGTTATAATGTGTGACTTGCACCTGACGTTAAAATGCATCTGCAGTGTACACATTAGAGATTATATTGAGAGATCAGATTTCCATTACCAAAAGCTAGATCCTTCCTTTGTCTCTTGATTTGCTGTCTTTAAAAATTTTAGGTTTTAGTATGAACACTTTATTTACCTTATTCGCCTTATTTTCTAACCATTGGTCTTAATTATTTATCTGATAATGCAGGACGTGCGTAGTTTCCAGGTGTTAAAGCCACTGAAAACTTGTTGTCAAATCTTACTTATTTTTCTCAATAAGATTAAATATTCATGATTAAGGAAGCAAGCTTAAGTTTGGACGAAAAAACATCCTACGGTTTTATTTATTAAGAGTTCAACCCTCAAAAACTCACGCTGATCTGCTTCATCAGGGCTGTGTGGGTGTGATTTGATCATCTTTGATTGGCAGTGGCCTGGCAACATAAGCAAGCAACCCCACAGCTATCATTAGATTCTGTTTCAAATGCTGCAGCGGCAAAAAAAAAAGCACAGCCGGAGATCTCTAATGTGAAATAACCAGAACTATTCTAATTTTGGAAGAGAAGAGAAGAGATAGTGTGTTCATGTAGGACCCCATCACTAAGCGTGAGAGCTGAGAATTAATTAAATGAAAATATGTTTTTAGGGCCTTTAAGGGTGTAGATAAAGTTAGTGATGTAACAGTCGAGCATGTTATCATTGATGTTTTCCTTCCTCCCCATATCCAACAGAAAGCAGCCATTACCATTATACAGGGCACAGTGTATTGTAGCAATATGAATAATAATGCTGAAGTAATGATTTTATATACAGTATTAAGGTCTGTCACTCTGGTGCTTGAAATACCAAGCACATCTCACTATACTGCTTTGTGTCTTTATACAGATGTGCTGAAAGTGGGGAATAAAGGATAAACTGCACACTTCTCTTGAAAAGGAGTGTTGCTCAAAGGAAGCTTTGACTACTGGAGCCACACTTTCCTGTTGTCATTCTCATTTGCAGTTGTTATATCATAAGATTCTTCTGTCACTTTTTTCTAGCACTTAAAAATAATGTATTAGACGTATATAGGAAAGATTAGTTCTGAAAAGACTTTAAATGAGAAAACTTTCCATCTGCGTCTCCACCTCTCAGTCACCTTCCTCGTTCTGGGCCATTATGACTGGATTCAATCTGACCCCGGTAGTGTCTGTGTAATTATCCTAATGAGGTCTTGTACACCTTTTATCCAGTCAGAGTATATTCTACCTCTCTCCCTCACTGTCTCTGGAGCTGCATCTGTGTGTGCATGCTGATGTGTTAAGACTCACTTTTCAACTCTGATAACCAATGATGTATTCATCGCTCCACACACACACTGACTATGCACTCTCTGCTAGCCCTCTCTGCTATGCTAGGTGAAAGAAATAAATTGGCCATCACACAGACAGTGCAAGGAAGAGGCAAGGGGAAGAGAGCTGTGGCGTAATTAGTTCCTGGCTTTTCATAACTCATGGTCTTGGTGAAAGTCTCATTCTCATATCAAAGGGTATCAAAGGATATAAAAGTAAGCCCATATTCAGACATCAGACTCCAGAGTGTCTGGCCTTAACAAAAGCCAGTTTATGACAAGAGATCAGAATACAGCACTGGGTGTTCTGTGCACTGCTGGTTGGCAGAGGAAATGAGAGATCAAGCTGCAGATATACAGGTTAAAGACTGAGATAATCAAACTGTTGGTTTTAGACTTCAAGATGAGACATAACATGTGAAGAAGAGCAGCTCTCATGAGGTTAAAGTGGTATTATGGTAGAGGTGGTCTTTCTCTTGAGGAAAATAGTTTTTCTTTTAAAATCAGGGACTATCTTTGTATGTCAGCATACTGGATGTTAAATGTAGAAATGCAGAAAATGACATCTGACAGCCTTACGTCAACTCAAAGCAAATATGGGGATTAAATGTAAAAGACTGAAAACATTGTTAATAACAAACCCAATACTCTGAAGTCCATCTGAGATTGAATTGCAGTTTGAATTGTTTTCTCTGCTATAGCAAATATCTGCTCTGTAAATCACTTGTACTGTACTGTCTCCTTTGAGAAAAAAAATTAGAAGCCAAAGGGGAGAAATTAGTATTTTTTGGTTTCAGAATGGTGCCCCCTAGTTTTAGGCAAATTATTGCTCCAGTATCTGTCTATGTGGATGGAGACCTTATTGCAATAAAGCCCATTAAATCTTGCATAAAGCAGCAACGTCAGCGTAGTATAAGCAGACAGTCCCACTGAGTCAGACAGCAGCCCGCTGCACAACACAAAAGCCGAATTAGCTTTCCTGCTTAAGTGTACTTGTAACTTACAAACATGACAACATGTTTTGTCCTGCTCCGTAGCCTTTTGAACAAGTGACCAGACAAACATTCAACAGGGAAAAGTGCGCTGCTAACATCAGTTTGCAGGCTAGGTAGCTAATTAGCTTCTCAGCTGCAGCACGTTAAACAACATTTAAACGGACCTGCAAATGTCACTTGGGTTTTTAGATACTGGTGTGCTCCTTACTCTTCAGTAACACTAACAACACACTGTCTGCCCGTGACATATAGCTACAGTTAGTCTACTTTATCTCTGGTTCACTATGGTCAATCAAACACAGCCAGCTGAGATGAAAAGGAGCATTTTTGATATTTTGCCAAATAGCTTTTTTAATTCCTTTTAATAATAAAAATATATATTTTTAAAAATGTTGACATTATTTTTGACTGCAAAAAGGATGATGAAATGTGATTTCAGTTGGACACACATTTCACAAAAAACACATTTTTAGTACATATTCAGTGTGTGAAACAGACAAGTTGACTTCTAATTAAAAACACATCTTCGGCAATAATTGTTTTTTAATTACATGAATATGGGAACATTGTGTGTTGGTACCCAAAATATGAATTTGGTCCAAATGAAAAGATTGTCTGGACTTCCTGCCTGTCTGCCTACCTAGCACATCTAGCAGTGTTGCCTACCCTAGCTTTAATTAATGGTGACAGGTGGAAACTGATGTAATCAGTGAGGTGGCATCAGCAAACTGCACCACAGAGGCAAACTTTTTGAAGTACTGGCCATGATAAGTTGAGTGGGTAAATTGGATGAATCTACAGGTGATACTGCACCACTTTTTCATTTAGGGTTTTAAGCTAAAAGTATTATTACATAACCATAGTGCACAATAATCCCGGTTAAGAGAAGTTGCATCTTTTTAAATACATATTTTACATATTTTTCTTCTTACAACTTCTTGAGCTAGCCGAACTCTGATAGACAATACAGAAGAAGCTAGATGTGTTTTCCCACACATCCAAATGAGGACTTTGGCATTGTTTGGCACATAGCAGAAGGGAATTTGCTTTTGAGCTGCATCGCATTGGAGTGTATAGAGACAGTTGTCCAAAACAATAACACAGCCAAATCAACTACAGTATGGTGAGCCAGAAGAGCTGCAGGCTTTGTGATTAATGTGCATTCTGTTCTACAAGTTTGTTTTGTGCCTCACTGTCCAGCTTTTCATTCATCTCCTGTCTCTCCACTCAGTGCTGGGAGGCGTGGAGTCACGTGGTGTGCTGAGGAAGATAAGTGACATGCTGGAGGTTATTCTGAAGAGGATGGACAGTCTGTCCAAACTTGACAACACCTCCACCACCGACGCACGGCGCCTGGATGAGCTCAGCTCTGCTATCAACAAGTAAGCTGGTTATTTTCTTCATTTTATAGTTTTATTCTGCGTCACTGCTAACTGGTTTTGTGAAATACAAAAATTCTCATTACATTATTCAGCACTCACTAGATGAAGTGGTTATAGTGAGACTGACAGCAGAATTAGATGAGGAAATCGTTTTTAGTAAGAGTCATGCAATTACTCATGCGATTTAAAATTTTGAAAAAAATCTTAAATTATTCAGAAACTGTGAATAGACATGACAGTAGGTTGCCCTTCGTTTGTTTAAGGGAAGATTTGGCACCTTTTATGTTGATGTCCAATCAGTGTCGAAAGTTGGGCGGGCTGGGCGTCAGAAGCTTGCGCGCAATGCACCCTGGTACTCATAGACACTACCTGCATGGCTCCACGTGCAGGATAACTCAGCTTTTTATGTCAATATAGCACGTGCTGGGGAATTTATTGCTTCAGTTGACTACGTTAATATAAACACTGACTGGACATCCACATAAAACATGCTGACATCTTTTTAACACCACATGTTATGTTACACCAAATATTTTGCCATACTAAATGTGTGGTGTTCCAACCAGCTCGTTAAGGTAGGGCAGTAACAAGTTATTTGGGATTGAAATGAAGGTGGTAAAGGACAACTGAATTTAGGTTAAAGTCAAATTTTTAATTAAATGATTTGTCTCAAGAAAACACAACAAAAGGAGGCTATATAGGTACTGACAAAAAAAGGAAACAAAAGGAGGTATTGTCCAAAGACAGCTCTCTACTCAAAGAAAACACTGAAGAACAAAAGGAGGTCAGCACCTATATGCTCTACAAGAATGTAAAGTAACCAAACAGACAATGCTCAAACCAAAAGAGTGCCACTCACACTATGTGATTTACAAGGGTTCAAACTGACGGAAGCCGCTTAGGCAGGCAACCGACAGAAACAGGTAAATGCCAACACTCAAGAAATTCACTGTTAACAGGGGTACGCAACCAACAACGAGGCAAACTGATCACTGGCTCACAGTCGCCTCGAATTGCAGAGACACAAACTATTTGTAGTCACCAATCACAGACGCCAGCAAACAGCAACCAGGAAGTGGGCGGTCCCAGGTCCAGAGGAACCAATCCTAAACAGGGACTCACAGCTTGGATTTGCATACCATTCAGAGAACTCCAGAACACAACTATTACTCTAAGGCAGCCAGCTAAGGCAGCCAGCGGCGGCTGTAACAGTGGTAAATGTGCACAACTCAACAGATCTAACAATTCAGGATCAATCTTTGTTCTGCTTGCAATGATAACAGGAAAAGTGTATAAAAACACATACTGCTGTAATAGTTTAAGCATTGTTCTTTCCCCTTATGTATGGAAAGAATAACATACATAATGCACGGTAATCAGCTCTTTTATGATACAGTATCGGGAGTGCTTTTGTCAACTCAGGTGTGTATCAACGAAAGCAGCTGGTAGAGCTTTGTAGGATTACTGATCCTTTATAGCAGTTAGACTGAAACACTATAACGGCGCCATCGTATTTAAGATGTATTCCTCATTGTCATTTATACTGTACATCACCTCGCTATCTCCACTATAATTATGACTTCTATCTTCTCTCCTTTTTACTCCTCGCCTTATTGTATTTCGCTCTCATCTTTGCTCTCAGTTTTTCCCCCCTGTTATACGGTCGCATGTAGAAATTGCTGCCTATTACCTCAAATTTGCTGGTGCAAACAGACAAGTCTTGTATGACCTTGCTGGTACTGCTTTCATCAAACCGCTCCTCTATTTGCCTCGTTAGTACCAAAACATCCAATTTGTCTTATATATCTAACGTTCTCTTCATTCTAACTCCTCTCATTTAGAAACAGCCGGACTAAACTCAGTGCAGCAGGAGTGATATGATATACACTGACAGAAATCCCCTCACTTCCTCGAACCTTGTTAAATGATCCCGGATAAGTGCTTGGGTTCAGATCTGCGCAGAGGCACTAGAGCGGAAGGATGGAACGATTAATACGGTCTGGCGTTGGTGTTAACTGCAATCAATGTCTAGTAATGGGCTGTTTAATGTCGGGGAAGCCACTCTGCTCTTAGGCCATGACTCGGGAGAAGTGCACTGCTAAGTAACTCTGTCTATTGTCAGGGTCTAGGATGGTACATGCATGTGTTACTGTAACAGAAATCAATTTCTAGTTATTGCCTTGAAGGGAATAGTTTGGATGGATAGAGGGTTATGCTCATGGTGTAATTAAGGTCAAACACAAGAAATCAATATTGTGTGATTTTCCTTTTTTAAATATAGTTAATGAACAGTTTGCCCCTAGCCATTAGACTTGTTGTCAGATAGATGTACTTTATCCCAGTGCCTTCATTAAATTAGGAGAAATAAATTATTTTGATCAAACATCATAAGGGGCATCACATATGCTATTCTTTACTGATTATCATTTTGACACTATTATCTAAAACCATCAGCACGTGTTATATCTGACTCACGTTGTGTGGGATAGAAGGTAGAGATGGGAGGGATCTCCATGGTTACGACTTTACGACTTTTTAAAAAAAAAAAAATTTTTTTAAAACCTGTCCTGCCCAGCAGCCTGGTATAGAGTATGATGAGCTGGATACCATATTGTGCCAGCCAGACAGATTTTACTTTAACAAGAGAGTATTAATATACTCCTTTGTCTATTATTTATTTAATTATGTATTGATTTGTCACTGGGCCAGACAGGGGAGCAGACATGGGGATCGGGGGGCATAAACAGACAGCACAGAGAAAGGACAACACCTGTAAGAGAAGGGGGATGGAAGGTGGGGACAACAAGGAATAGCAGAGGGAAACAATTGCAGAAAGCAACGAAACCTGCAAGAGAGGGGGGCTTGGGGAGGAGAAAAACAACAACAACAAACAAACAATAAAAATAATAATAATAGTAAAAGACAACCAGCTGAGCAGCAATAAACAGCTGACATAGTAAGACAACTAAGAGAAAAATGAAAACAAGAAACAGTCACACACACTAAATAAGCAACACAGCACAGCCACGAGAGCTGGAATAATAACAATTAATTTAAATAAGTAACTGAAAGAAAAGCATCAGGAATAATTCTACCAGGGACAACCTAAATTTGTTTGTGTCTATGTGTGAGACTGTGTGTGTCTGTGTGCGTGTGGGTGAATGTGTCTGTATGTGTGTGTGTGTGTGTGTGTGTGTGTGTGTACATCCAATCCACTTTATTTCTATAGCACATTTTACAAACACAAAGTTACCAAAGTGCTGTACAGAAGACTCAAACATACAAAACAATTAATTAAAATTTTGTAAAAGCAAAATAAGAGCATCAGGTTTAAATACTAAAATACAGTAAAACAATAAAAGACATCAGAGGACCACACAACTCACGCGGAGTTAAAAGCCAAAGAATAAAAATGTGTCTTTAGATGAGGGCAGAGCGGTCCAGAGTTTAGGTCCAACCACAGAAAAGGCCCTGTCCCACCGAGTTTTAAGTCTTGTCTTGGGGACTGCAAGCTAGAGCTGGCCCTCTGACTTCAGTGACCACGCTGGCGTATACATTTGGATGAGTCCGAGATATATGTTGGGGCCAGTCCATTCACAGCTTTAAAAACAAACCAGTGCAATGAAGCAAGAATTGGAGTTATATGAGCGCTCTTTTTGGTTCCTGTTAAAAGATGTGCTGCAGAATTTTGCAGAAAAAACTGTAAGCGTGAAAGTGCGTTGTGATTTATACCGATATAAAGTGCATTAGAGTAGTCTAAACGAGAAGAAATAAAAGCATGTGTAGCTTGTTCAAAACTGTTAAAAGACAAAAACGTTTTAACTTTGGCTAAAAGGCGAAGATGATAAAAACTAGATTTCACAACCGCATTTATTTGTTTGTCAAGTTTAAAATTACTGTCTGTTTTGACCCCAAGGTTAGTTACAACAGGATGCACAAAGTCATCATGGAGTTAGTGGGGCCAAACTGCATGATCTCTGTTTTACTCTCATTTAGTTTTAAGAAATTTTGGGCTAACCACGCTTTGACGTCATTTGAACAGTCAAGTAGGGGTGTCAGGGGGCTGCCTTCATGCATTCTGATTGGCATATAAATTTGACAATCATCAGCATAAAGATGATAGGAGATGCCATGCTTTTTAAAAACTATTCCAAGTGGAAGGAGGTACAGTGCAAAATGAATAGGACCAAGAATTGATCTCTGGGGGACCCCACTGTTAAGAGGCGCAGTTGATGAGGTAGAGTCCCCCATTTTAACAAAGAAGCATCTCCCTGAAAGATATGACTGGAACCATTTTAGGGCAGTCCCCCTGAATCCCACACAGTTTTCCATGTGAGATAAAAGAATTGTGTGGTCAACTGTGTCGAAAGCAGCAGTGAGATCTAAAAGCACTAAAATGGCTGAATCACCAGAATCTGTCATTAAAAACTGGTCATTAAAAACCTTTAAAAGTGCAGACTGAGTGCTATGAAATGCTTTAAAACCTGACTGAAAAATATCTAAAGTGCCATGTGCCTCCAGAAAAGACTGTAGCTGCATAAGTACACATTTTTCCAAAATCTTTGATAAAAAAGGAAGCTTTGAAATAGGGCGATAATCTGAAACATTTGTGGAGTCATGTCCAGCTTTTTAATTAACTGAAATATTCCAATCTGGTTTTAAATCCCGGCATAGCACAGAAACAGCCCTCTTAAAAGTTTTAAATGATTTGTTTTTAGCTGCTGATTCAGGCAAATCTACTGTTCTGTTGCTTTTAGATTTAACAGCTGCATTTGACACTGTAGACCATGCCACATTTTTATCTCGCCTAGAGCATTAACGGTACTGCCCTTCAGTGGTTCAAATCATTTTTATCCAACAGAAGCTTCTCAATCCATCTCGGTGAGCACTCCTCTTCAATAATGCCACTAAATTTCGGCCTGCCTCAGGGTGCAATTTTAAGCCCTGTTTTATTTGCACTGTATATGCTTCCGCTCGGGTCCATTTTTAAGAAGCACAAT